CCGTTAGTGCATGCGCCATGCTACGTCATTGCTCTATCACGTACGCACAGTCGCTTCGCGCAATATAAGGTTTGCTAGCTGTGGGACGAGTGGGAAACTTACTTTGTGGACGCGCCTCGTATTTAATGTGAATAGAAAGTGTCTGATAAATGAGCTGTTCTGAAAATATTTAGACATAACAAGTTTGATTGTTTTTATATTATTTAGCAGAGGTTGTATACCATCATATGAGATGGGGACATTATATAATTATCAGTCATTAGGTGTATCAAAAGAGACATTTGTGATCTACTTGAAGATAATATTCCAGCATTCATCTGAAGTGAGTTATGATTGGTGGCTGTGTGGTGATAATGAAGTCAGGAGGGTAAATCAACCAGTCCACCATATTGTGGTGTTATTAAGAAAAATGGAAAGAATATTAAATAGTGGCTTAGGACATTGGTCAAAAATGTCTTTGATAAGTTATATAAAGATTTATCCGGGGCAGGGGGAACATTTTAGGTGATGCATACATTGTGAACTGGCTGGAGGTATGCCGAGTGTGATGAAGGAAAATGTTATGAATTAGTTAATTTTTATGAGAATGTAAAAGTCTGTCATTTGACTGTACCTGATCCAGCTGAATCCAGTCACATCCTCAGAACTTGTTTGTCCAACATCCTCGCATATGTGTGTATGCATAAATATATGTTAGTTTGTAATCATTATTGAACTCTAATGCCTAGTGGTAACTATATGTACCACTTGCTTTAACAATCAGTATCTTTGCTGCGTTTTATATTCATGTGTTTCGTATGATTCTAAGTGTAAGTTTTTTTCAAACAGGCCTCAGACAATGGAGTTTCCAAATAATATTCTTACAACAGAGTAGAAAAAATTAAAATCCCACAACTACAAACCACCAGTGACAGCAATCATGAAATAAATTTGATATATTTATTTGTAAAAGATGATCTAATTACTTTTGACCACCAGGTACAATTTTTCAGTTACTGTGGATGAGTATTTATTGAGGTATTCAGCATACTAATCTTTTGGAGTATGAAATACAGAGTATGGGATACTTGTGCTACAGCTATGCTTGTGAATGGTGCAGGTATCTTGTGAAGAATCTGGTTCTGGGGTACTTCACAGCTACACCAAACACTCGCAGTCAGGTGTTGCACATTGTGGCAACTGTATTGGACTTTAATC